TGAAGTTATATTCAAATATTTCAAGGAAAAAGACACTATGGTAACTACTATTAAACCGGGTTATTTGGTGGTGAAGCACTAGGTTGCTGAAACTGTCATGCTTTGACCTGTACTGTTATGATGTTATGTCGTCTTTTATCTCAATCTCTCCCTTATTCATTAAAAAAATTATTTAGTTATTTTTTATGATTTTTTTTAATTAAGGGGAAAAATCAAAAATATTAGCAGGATATATTATAGTAACTTATTTGATTTCCTATTAACTTAATTTGAAGTCCTGTAATACTCCCACTATCTTGTTTTGAAAGGGTCAAATTATTTGTAATTGCAGATGCTGTGATCCTTTACCTAGGATACCCTAAAACCACCAGAAAACTTTTACATCTGATAAATTCAGCAAAGCAGCAACATACAACATAATCATGCATAAATCCATGTCTTTTCTATACACAAATAATAAACCTGCTGAGGAAAAAACTTTTAATTCTATTCACAGTAATTTGAAAAAAATTAAAATACTGAGGTATAAGCATAATCAAGGAGGAAAAAGACCTCTATGGTGGAAATTATAGAATAAAGAATTCAAAGAAAACACTAAAAGATAGAAAGATTCTAATGCTCACAGATGAGCAAAATTAATTTTGTTAAAATGCCCTCATTACTAAAAACAATTTACAGATTTACTGTAATTTCCACAAAAATTCCAATGACATTATTCACAAAACTAGAAAAAAATGATACTGAAATTCATATGTAAATGCAAAACTCCTAGTACAGCCAAAGCAATCTCAAATAAAAATAGTAGTGCTGGAGGTATCACAAACCCCAGCTTCAAAATATACTGCAAAGAGATAGTAAAAAAACAGGCTTGTACTGGGACAAAAATAGACAGTTAGACCAAGGGAATAGAATACAGGAGAGAGATAAATCCACACAACTAAAGCCATCTGATTCTTTTTTTATTTTCCATCTGACTCATGACAGAGGAGGCAAAAACATGTTTAAAAAAAGACAGTCATATCAATAAATGGTGCTGGGAAAACTGAGTATATGTAGAAGACTCAAACTAGATTCCTATCTCTAGTCCCATATTAAAAAAATCAATTCACAATGGATCAAAACCCAGATATAAGATTTACAAGTCTGAAATTAAGAGAACATAGGGGAAACCCCTGAAGTCACGAGCACAAGCAAAGACTTCCCGAATAAGATTCCAATAGCACATAAAATAATAGTACAAATGAACAAATAGAATTACATCAAATTTTAAAGCTTCTGCACAGCAAAAGAAAGACTGAAGAAACTGCCTACAGATTGGGAACTACTCTTGTTACCCAAATTTTTGCATTAAAACAGCACACAACACCAGTCTCTTCTTCGTGACTTTTGTCTTCTCTTAGCACGCTAGCGTCTCATAGTGATACACCAAGACAAGCTGTATCTTGAGGCCACCACTTGCATTGGCACATAACAATAAAGTTAGCCTATCCTTTATAGGCTATGGCCTGGCATTTTCTTCTCTTCCTGGGTAATGTGTGTTCTCCTGAACATTTGCTTCCAGAAATGGCCAGTTTCATCATTTCTCTGTTATCATTGCAAAGAACTGCACTGTAATTTTCAGCATCCCTTTTATAAGGACTGGAAGTCTAGCTACACTATAAACCCCAGTTGTCGCTTTAGAATTATGAAACCACCCCTTACTGGGATAAAATGTTTCACCATCATCATTTGTTGATGGATCATCCTTTATAATATCTGCATTTATAGCCCTAGCTTTGTCACAAATTATAGACTGAGACAGGCTATAACTTGCCATCTTCCTTTCATTTATCCCTAATAATGGCAGTCCTTCTACCTCATCTAACACTGTTGATCATGACTTACTAATCATGATCATGACTAAGAAAGCAACACTGGCTTTCTTATACAAATCTTCTCTGTATAAGATTGTCAAGATGGTGGATTTTGACATGCTGGACACAGCATAATCAGTCACATAAATGCCATTCTAATTTCTCCATAATTTCCTTCTTTTTGATTGTATTTACTTTCCTATCCTTCCACTCCTTCCTTTGCTTTTTTTCTAGCTTTTTGGGAGCCATTTCAATAGCAATAATTATAGTGATTATATGAAGCACTGACCAAAATCACATCCATAACACATATCAGGGCTCAGACTGATGCTTACATATGCTTATATAAGCTTTTCTCACATTGCGAGTCTTTGATTACAACCATACAAGCAGCTGGTATTTGGGTCATAATTCAAAACTTTGGTCATAAGTTAAACCTAGAATTTTGGTTGTAACCCAACTTGTTCACACGTGATACCCATCATAATAATCCACTATATATGTCTGAAGTATATAATCGTTGTAGTATATAATCTTGTAATATATAATCATTAGAGGGAATTGACATATGTGTATAACACAGCTCAATTCTTTTTTTTCGCCTTTCCCTCCATCCTCTTTTTAAAAATTATTTTTCCTGCATCAGATTCATTTATTTTACAAGTCATTATCAACTCAATTATCATAAACAAAGATTAACTATTATCAATACAGAATCAATAATGCAATTTTCTATAAGAAAACACAGCTTTGGACAAGTATGTGTCCAAACTGATGTATCATATTAAAATCTATATTCCATTTTAGAAAGAATTTATAAGAATATAGGGAATAAAAGTAAAATTAAACCAAATCCTTACCTAAGTTAATTTTCACCTTTGGTCCAATCATGAAACAACTTTATAGTAATAGCATGTTATATTAAAGTTATCATAACCCTTTAATTGATAAGAAACTCAAAAGTCAGAAAGAATAGCTGCCAAAAAGCTACTTGCATTTAACTCAGAAAATTTCCTTCAAAGTTTTTAAGATATTCATGTCTTAAAAATGATCCCTGGAAGCACAGACCACATACATTGGTACCATAATAACATACGGACTGTATAACTGGACATCATTTTGCATATAATATTATATAATTATGTATTATATGTATCTTATAAGTTACTGCTTATTTGTAAAAGAATTATATAGTTCAAAAATATAATTTTCTTTTTTTTTAAATATAATTTTCAAAAGGCAAAAATCAAATTAATTCCACTTATTTTTCAATCTTGTCTACAAATTTAAAAAGCAAATAACTGCTAATAATAAAACAATGAACAACAGATACAATTATAAAGCTGTAACATTACCTTTAACATTTTAGTGAGTAAAAATCAAAGCCTACTCATCTTAGAAACGGTGTTTCAGGTCACAGGATCAAAGCATACAAAGTGAACATTCAAACAGTGAGACTGCAAATAGTTGTGTTCAGTAATCCAATCAAAAATATTAATATGGTCTTCTATTTAACACACCTAAACACCTTTGCTGTTGTATCCTTTAGGGCACTTTTTTTCCTCCCTTTATTACAACAAAATTTACACATTTTGGGTTTTAATGCTCCCTTAGACCTTATTGCTTGTTTTTTGTAAGAGAATAAAATCAAGCATGATAAAACAAAGCTGTCAGTCAAAACCAAGGATAGACATAGCACATGATATAAAAACAGAGTACAGGGTTATCAACAATGGTTACCATAATGGCTCTTGTTTCCTTAAGAAGAATTGTCTATCTCATATTATAAAGTTGAACAAAACAGTAGAGAACAAGACCAATAAAACCTAAACATTGCAAATCTTACAGAGCCTCAAAAGAGGATAATAGTCAAACCAGAATGGGCATCATAGTGAATCTTATTGCCTTCAAAGCAGTTGCCTATACTCTGATACTTGATACTTTCATACAGAGCAGAATAGAGTCTAATCAGTCAAAACAAGATAACGGGGGTATTACAGGGCTTCAAGTTAATACGAAATCAAAAAAGTTACTATAATATATCCTGCTAGTTTTTTTTTCCCCTTAATTTAAAAAAGAAATTTAAAAAATTAAATAATTTTTTAATGAATAAGGGAGGGGTTGAGATAAAAGGGGGCATAACAACATAACAATACAGGTTAAAGCATGACCTTTCAGCAGCCTAGTGCTTCACCACCAAATAACCCAACTTAATAGTAGTTACCATAGTGTCTTTTTCCTTGAAATATCTGAATATAACTTCATTTGCTATGTCATCAAACACATCAAGACAGTGTAACACCATTCAAGTAGATGAAAGCATTGTAGAGTATTTAGAACCAGCTAACAGAAAAATGAACAATGGTTTCTATATTGTCTCTTTGCCTATAACAATTTTTGTTTATATTACCACATACAATAAAATCCAGCAAGATACAACATGATAAAATCAATGGAGACAGAAGAGCCATAGTTTGGTGGGGCTTCAAAACAAGATGGTATTAAATCAGCACTAGCTATTATGATGCCTTGTTTTCTTCAAAATAGCTGTTCATTGCATCACAGGCCATAATAACAAATAGCCCAAAATAAAGCCATTCCAATTAATGAGTGAAAACTTTATAAGGCTTCAAGGCCACATAATGGGGAATCATAGTTACCACATACTTTTATATATTTGAATCATTTCCTACACTAGGGAAACTATTTGGTGTTCACAGATGCGAGTTTGGTTTATTTCACTTATGAGTATGGTTTCAAGCTGCGCCCATTTATTGCTAAATTCCTCAATGTGATCCTTCTTTATAGCTGAGTAGTACTCCATTGTATAGAAATACCACGGCTTTTTTATCCATTCCTTCTAAGATGATGGCATGTAATCTATTAACTGGTGATAGCTTACTGTTTTGTTTTGTTTTGTTTTTGTAGTTCTGAATTAGTTGTACCCTTACACTGTTTTGTTTTGTTCTGCTTTTTTTTCCTCTTTTTCCTTTTAAATTAAAAAAAAAAAAAAGAAAAGAAACAGGCTGTAAGCAAAATATAATAATGAATAGACTGGCTAGTGATTTCAAAATAGTAATGTTTAACACAATAACTCTAATACTCAAAGAACATTACTGTAAAAAGTATTTTAATTATAACACAAACCTGTTGCAATTCTTGTATTTTTGCATCCTTGACCTGCAAAATCTCTAGAACTTTTCTGTCCTTAGCTTCAGATTTCTGTTTTTCTCTAGAAACAAACATGTATACAGACAATTTATTAGTTATAATTGCTATCAAATCTTTTGAATGTTCATATCCCAATAATGAACATAACTTTAAAATGTAAATAATTAAATCATCTTGGGTTGTCAGCTCATTCAGAATCAATCACAAACCATGTGACAAGTGATGGCAACCTACAACTAATGACAACCAAGACCTCATACTAAGAAAACAGTTTAGTTTACAGATTTAGATATATGATTTACAAATGCAAAACATAACTTAGCCTTGATTATAATGACCTACAATGCTAGTCCTTTTAATATAATTAACATACATTGTTATTAATATAAATGCTTTATAATGTTAATTAATTTTAGAAAAAAAATCAGCATTTTTTAAGTAACATTTTCAAAAACAAGAGAATCAGAGGTACAACAGTATACAATATTCTAGGACGAGAATTTTTGGATTTATAACACCTTCCTACACTTTTATAGGGTCTGAGAATACTACTAATTAACTGCAGGATAGCTGGATATTCAAAGCACAGATCTCTGGTAAACAAAGTCATAATATGAAAAGTGACTGCCTTCTAAAAATAAAAAATACCGCTTTAAATAAGAAAGGAAGAGTGGGGCCAGATGTAGTGGCACATGCCTATAATCCCAGCACTTGGGAGGCACGGCAGGAGGACCATTAGGGGTTTGAGACCAGCCTGGGCTACAAAGTGAGCTTCAGGCTAGCCTGAATTGCATAGGGGACCCTGTCTCAAAAAGATGAAAGGAAGAAAGAAAGAGAGAGAGACAGACAGACAGACAGAGAAGGAAGGAAGGAATGAACGAACGAACAAAGGAAAAGAAACAAAGGTCTAAAGCAATCACATTCGGAATAATGCTAGCTAATTTGTATCACAAATGGGAAGAAATTTTCTAAAAACAGATTCATAGATGAAAAACACTTTAAAAACAGGTAAAAGAAACAAGAATGCATGCCTCAATCAGTGGTGTGTCACAGAATTTACAGATAGAAAAAGAAAAAAAGTACAGCAAATGCCTTAGGAAACACAAAAGGAATATCAGAAGGAAAACCAATCATAAAATCATACAGCTGGTTTTAAGAGATAAGGTCAGGATATATAACAGTTTATAAAAATATTTAAATTCTAATTCTAATAAATCCACATTTGAGGTTCTCTCTTCTCTAAATATATAGTATTAATGGAAAAACATATAAGACACATAACTTTGCGAGAGTCACAAATGAAACAGAAATATAAAGAATGTGATGCCATTTACTATTCCTTAGATAAAGTGGAAAGGAGGAAAGGAGCCTAGTTTTAGAGATACTGGGAGTAAAATCTCCTTACTCTAGAAACAAATATATGTAGAATACCAGGTTCATTGTTTGAAACCAAGACTAAGGTGAGGCTTCTAATGCGTAAAAAGATACTGGAAAAAGCTCTGTCTACCTTTATTAAAAATCGGAGGATTATATGAAAGTCTTTAAAAAGGTAAAAATTTATAGATATTGCACCCCAACCAAAATTGGAATATAAAGCCAGGAATGGTGGCACAAACCTATAAGCCCAGCACTTGGGAAGCTGAGGCAGGACAATCACTGTGAGTTTAAGGCCAGGTTGGGCTAAATAAGTGAGTTCAAGACTTCAAAGCCAGTCTGGACTACATAGAGAGACCCTTCCTCAAGAAGCCAAAAGGACTATAAATGCAAAATGCCCCCAGTTACAGACATAAGACTTATTTCAGGAACAAGGAAGGGGTAATGTTGACAGATCAGTGGCAATCATAAAATTTAGAGAAAAAAGTGCATTAGACAAAGAAGATTCAGGGGAAAAGAGGATGAGATCAATAACAACAGCAATCTTACCTCTCAAGATGTGACACAATGGAAAATCCAAAACATATGAACCCACACATGACTTCAACAGTCTGAAGCTGCAATTCTCAGAACAAAATGAAAGTAACAGAACACAATGAAAAACCTTTAAATAAAAGTGCTCAAAAATAAAAAATAGGGGCTGGAGGTTTAGCTCAGCAGCATAAGTGCCTGCCTTGCAAGCAGGCAGTCATGAGTTCAATCCCCGGTACCGATAAAAAGGAAAAAGACCAAAAAAATAAATAAATTAAATTAAATTAAAATAAAAAATAAATGACAAATACTTAAAGAACAAATAAACCAAGGACAGGTAGATGTAAAAAAAATTATTAAGTTTTAAACTTTATTTATAATCACTAAATCAAAAATCTAAAACTAAACACAAAGATAATTAATGAAAGTACTAATGAGATACTCATAGAGCACACTGCACCAAAAAATAATGAATTTTAAAATACGACAGCACAGTTGAGACATATAGGTTTCTTTCAGAAATTCTAAGTACCCTAAAACATTCCAGACATAAAAATAATAGAATGAAAGATAAAGGGTTAGGGATAGGGTGAAGGTTTTAGAAGAAATTGCTAGAATTAAACAGAGAATTGTTTAGAATTAAACAGAGTCCTCAGATTGAAAGAAAACTTCTCAAAATAATAAAAAGGAAAGCATACCTGGATACATTAATCTATGGTTCGTTTAACATGTACTGTTTATTGAGCACTTACTAACATAGGTTATTTCCCTAGATACTAGAGATAAGGCAGTAAAGAAAATAAAACTAATGGCCCATGGAATTAATGTTTTAGAAAAGAGATACTGAAAATAAAAGATACATAAGTTATGTACATAGTATATCAAGTAATTGTAAGTATAATGAAAATAAATTAGGGTAACTAAGAAAGGAATGGCAACAGCCTTCCTTCCACTACCCACTTCCCATTAATACCTGATGTTTAACAAATGACTCTTCCAATAGGCACCTTATTTGATCAGAGAGCTAAAGAAAGAGAATCAAGAGTCATGCAGAACTCAAGAAAATTCTCCAAACCAGAAAAACAACAAAAAATAAAAGACACTGAGGCGAGAGCATATAGCAGTCATACCATGTCAGTGGGTATATATTCAAAAAGCCACCCCTTGTGGCTGCCTGAAACCACACACAGAGTCGGACCTTCTATATGATTATGATAAATATATATTTAGCATAATGTTCAATTTAAAATTTGGCAAAGATTGACAATAATAAAGCCATTATAACAATGGAATAGATATTATCTGAAATATAAAGCAGGAGATAGACTTAGAATTTTGGATTGGACATACTAAATTTGAGATGGATTAGTCAGCCTCCAAGAGAAGTCAACAGTTGTATGTAAACCAAGTCTGAAGTCAATAGAGAAATTAACATTACAGACGCAACTTTAGGAGTTTAGAACAGAAGAGTAAATGAAATCATCTAGGGAGTGATTCTGAATAAATTAAATCTGAAGACTGACACCTAGAACAATCTATCAGGTTCTAAGATGGTAAAGGGCAAAAAACAGAAAATGATACTAAGAAGACAAGTCAGTAACGTAAGAGGCGAATCAAGGGATAGAAGTGAAGTCTTTCTAAAAGAAATGAAGTAACCAACTATATAAAATGTAATTAAATAAGAAAGACTGAAAACGAACTGCTAGGTTAAGACTGATGATCTTGACAACCATTGCTTTAGGAAATGGTGAGTATGAAACCTTAATGTTTAATAGGAGTAAATTTGTGATGAAAAGAAAAAAATATGTAAATAGTAAAAACTCCACTTGAGAGGAATTCTGCTATTTAAAAAATAAACAAGCTGGAGATTTAGCTCAGCGGCTATGATTTAGCTCAGAGTGCTATGTCATGAATTCAATCCCCAGTACAAAAAATAAATTAAGTAAAAATAAGTAAATAAACAAAAAAGAAACAAAAGTTTTTCAAGGGGAAAATGAGCTCAAAGTTTTGTGTTTTGTTCTGATTTTTTTAACATGGGAAATAAAATGCACGTGTGTATGCTGACAGCAATGATCCACGACATTGATAGATAAGGTTTTAAGTGAGAGAAGGGAGAACTGCAGAGCAACATCCTTCGGCTCGTTGATATTTTTATGTATGTTCTTGGTTCAGACTTAGGAGTATAAATAATTCTTGAGAAAAAATTAAAAGAGAGAACATGAGCACAAATATATTGGTATAAGAGGTTATGGAAAGGCATAAAAGCTCTATTCTATAAGTTCTCCCCCACCAATGATATAATAAGCAAGGGTATTCATCACATGAAAATGCGAATGGAAAAAGAAAGGTTGGAAGCTGAGGATGAAAATATTCCAGAGTAATGGTACAGAAAGTGAGCCAGGGAAAAAACAGGAAGACTGGCAGACAGTACCATGAACCACTGCAAGTCAGTGGCCATAGAATAACGTAAGACCAGTATCATCGTGCTTCTGGGTTTTTCTCTAGCTGCATTCTCTGAATGTATTATAGATACACAGTAATAAGATTTGGAAAAAACAATGTTGGAAATTGTGCAAATATATGCATTATTACTACTTATTTTTAACTTCTGTACCTTATCCCACTTTATTATGTTTCCTATGTAACATGTACTAATAACACATTTTGTATATAACTGCAGTCCATTGTCTTCAATTAAGCTTTCAATTAATGTTTCTCTTACAGACAGTGAAATTCAGCATACTTTCAGAAAATACCCCTTTTATTTCATATTTAGTCCCTGACTGTCAATGTAGCTGCCACTTTAATTCTAGTGTTTTTTGACTTACAAAATTATTTTATGTTAAAAATATATCCCCTTATGGGACTGGGGATTTAGCTCAGTGGCATAAGTGCCTGCCTAGCAAGCGTGAGGTCCTGAGTTCGATCCTTGGTACCATATATACTTCCTTAGAATATCATTTGTCACTAATATATATCCTTAAACTATCACTTGAAGTTTTAACTTACCATTCTAAAATCATTGGCATTACAGGGGTATTACTCAATCTACTTAAAGCACACACTTCAGGAAGAAAATGACCAAAACCAAAGACAGAGTATGATAAGGGTTATTCAGGAACAACCACAATGAGCAAGCCAAGCCATTAGTTTCAG